TGCACAAAATTGCACACAATATTAATTAACAGAGAAAGGAAGGAAAAGACTTTGGCTGTCACATTTTGAACAAGACAGTTATGGAGAATTCTCAGTCTAGAACAGGAACCAAAACACAGGAGAGCAATTATTTATAGTTGGATGTCCAAATAATTCAAAACACAAAAGGGACAGACTGCAGTTTATTAAATTCTCCCCCAGCCACACCAGGCTCTCTTATTAAAGAAGAGAGATTGAATGATGTGCAATTTACTTGGACAAGTACTTTAAGTGTACATGCAGTCTAAAGCTATAACATTCACACTTGCCCTCACCTCAATGTTTCACATCCCGGCTTTGGAAAGATAGCAGGAGTAAAGATCATAACAAGATACAGTCATTACAATAATGTATGGTTACATTATGGTGGTGTGGGCATTCCCCAAATGGAAGATGCTTGCAAGAATGACCAGCACCATTGTAACCAAAGAAATATCTGCAGATAATCAAAATTTGTATCACATTACCTTTTACTGTAAGCAAGCAACGCCTTCACTGGAGAAAAGGAACTTTGTGGACGTGAAATATCAGTTTGCTGAGTGAGCAGTCCTTTTTGGACTCCAGTTCGGGCAGGTGAAGTTGTTCTGCTACTTTTCTTCTTTTGTGATAAAGCTGGGGCATTATCCATTTCATTCGTGTGCAGGGAAGATGAAGATTTTGTTGCAGCTGAAGACTTGATATTTTTCCCTGTGGTTTTTAAAGCTGACATGTATTTGTCTAGAGTGTCATTAACAGATGTTCTAGCCTCTGAGAAGACGTCAACCATTGGTTTCATGCTTGGTGTATCGGCAGAGGTGGTTTGAGTATCAGAAAGTGGTGAAAGTTGGTCCAGTGATCGAAGCTGAAAGTCATCATCCATCGGGATGTAAGGAGCCAACATCTCCAGATCCAAGTTATCAATGTCCTAGTTAAAAGAATCATTATGTTAACAAGTAGCCAGAGATAATTAAACACTGCATAAAATTTCCTCAGCTAAAAATAGGTATTCTTTTCAATTTTGGATGTAATTTATAAAAGTAAATGGAACGTTTTAATCAAATGAATTACACTAGCAAATCAAATTCAGTTATTTTCACAATGGCTGTTTATTTACAGTACAAGTTTATGTAACAAACACTTGAATTATCAACTGTGTAATAAATTGCCAAAATCTAATGAAATGTCTGAATGTAACAAGGATATTCTTAGTTGCAATATCATTGAAATATTTATTTCAAGTCACAAGTCAGACTAGAATAACCTTAAACTGCAAAAACAGATGAGTTTAGTTAAAGCTGAAACAAAGCCCAAATCAAATTTGAAACTGGATCTATCAAGTTTGGAGAAATGAACAGATGAAACGACACAAGCTTGTCAAACCATTTTAATAATTTTTGCTTCTTTTTTATCCATGGCAGCTTGGTATGACAATGGATAAAGGGAGACAAAAAGGCTCCATCCGTAAAGTAAACATTTATGCAGCAGCCCTGTGAACTAGGAGAAACCAAAGTGTTTCCTTCTGGCCCAACAAGCTCTTAAGTTATACCCTTACCCTATACCACAATGTAAATCCCTGCACTCTTTTACCAAACAAATACTATAACCTTGGTGTCTCCCTATCTGCTTTGCATTTAGCAAAATCTGCAGAACAAAATTCAAACTTCATGATGAAAAAGTTGACTGTTAGGGAAACACATCGTATTAGGTTCCCTATCTGTATCCCAGTATGTGTGTTTATTTTATTAATGCATCATGCTGTAATACAGCTCAAATCAAAAACTGTCCTTTACATTTAATACACAAATCTCTTAGGAAGAGCCATCATATCATACCTGAACAGAGAATGGGTGTTTAGCCTCTGGGTCAATTGCAAAAAGCTTTTCCACTATATCCAGTTTGAATTCATTGGAAATGTCTGTGTCCACATTAAAACAGTAATCTGAAGGACTGCTTGGCTGTGAAAATAGATAATACAATGCATTTTAGTTGTTTGTTTATAAACCAGATCAGGAGTTATACAGCATAGTACCTTAATTTTAAGGCTCTAGTGGTGAAGTGGTAGTTTCTTTACCTCTGAGTCATGAACCCTGGGTTCAAGTCCCATCTGTTCCAGGTGTGTGTAACACTACATCTGAACAGGGTGACTGGAAAATATCTAGAACCTTAACTTTAAAATTCAAATGTGGACATCTTCTGTTGTGGGGAGGGCAACAAACTGGTGGGCTTTGTGCTGCTTTCTCAATGCTGACATCAAGGTCTTTGTAATTGCCAAGCCAAAACCAGCAATAAAATAGGCTTGAGAGGACGCAATCAACCGTGCCCCCATACATGCATTTCATTGCAAGTATGAAGGTATAGCTCAAACTGAAGACTACACACTTTTACAGTTTAAGGATAGACAACTGCATGGTGGTAATGTCATTATTAATGTCATTAGTTGAGGCCTTGACTAATGTTCTGGTGACATAGGTTCAAATCCCACGACAGCTGGTGGAATTCAAAATTATTGAAAATGAATCACAATAACGGTGACCATGAAATCGTCACTGATTGTCATGAAATCTGGTTCACTAATGTCCTTTTTTTTTGGGGGGGCCGGAAGAGAAGAGAAGAGGAGCTACCATCTTTATCTGGTCTGGTCTATGTGATTCCTGATCCACAGAAACAGCAAACCTCTCAATTCAAAGGCAATTAGGGGTGGGAATCAAATGCTGGCCTTTAGAGCGACATATACATCCTACCACAAGTTTTAAAATTTGATTTAAAAAAATTTAAGCAGTAAAATAATAACATCACTTTGTTTAATAGCTTGTTTAGAAATATTTGATAAGAGAGAGACTTACTTGCGGTGAATTCTGACTGGTGCAAGGACAAGAGGAGTTGCTTGACTGCTCATTCATTTGTGGAATGGTAAATGAAAATTCCATTGACTCTTGATTTGTTTCAAGCTTGATGATAGATTCTAAATTCAAGGCTGGGTCTGTGCTGCTGCATAGTGGCTTTTTTGCATCAGAGGGAGGCAGGGGTGACAGTGCCATGTCTACAGTTTTCTGGCTTGTGGAGGAGGGCAACATGACATCATTGTAGAGTGGGACCTCATTAAACTGCTGCATTTCTGAATTCAAAATAAAAGGGTTAAGTTTAACAAACTTATTGAGTTTGTAAACTCTTATTCATCCTTTCAACAACCAAGCTCAAATCTGATCAAACCAAATCCTGACTGCAGTCTGGTGAAATTTATTTAAAGCTAATTAAAATTATGCACAATTGAGAAAGTAATTTAGAACACACAGCCCTTGAAGTTGAATACCGAAAATCTGAATGTAAACTTTTGACTATTCCTTCATCAAATATTGATCGCTTAACAAAATAATTTACCACTGCAGTTTAACTTCAAGAAGTAGTGCAAATGACTAGTGCCTTTATATCTCTGGAGGTCATGCAATAAATGTAAATCTTTCATTCAATATCTTTATAATATAGTTGAAGGGCATTAACTTGTTTTCCAGTTTGAAAAATATTTTCATTAATCTCCATTCACGTTGCTTATATACATTATTCATCAAGTTTAAACCTGTAGAAATACTTTGGGAACCCATTTAATTTCTACAAATGGAGCCTTGGGGAAGTTCAAGTACACACATCAACCATGACTTTCTACAACCTATACAGAATTGTACAGAAGATAGGAGCACATCTGTGGACACTGAAGCACATTTACAAAAGGGTGTGAATGCAAAGGCAAGTAGGACATATGCTGGATGAGATAAATGTAACTGAACACGTAAGAAAAAAAACCTGCAAATTAGAAAATATTAAAAAGCACTAAGAAAATCTTCTCCTTCAAGCCCTCTCAACTCAGCATGCAGGCTTGGAGAGCAATTATTAATTGGATATTTTTCTATGGTAATCAAGCCCAATCTCATTCTCAAATTTAAAAATGAGCATTTCTATCAAGGCCTACTAAATAGTAATCAATAACATTGAAGTTTTTCTTCTTCACACCATGAAAATTTATTGATGCCAGCTAATTCAGCAAAAACTAGATATACGACCTTTCAAAAGGAAGTCAAGGGCCCAGTCATTTATTTGCTACCAGCAACACCATTTTTAAAAATTTGTCAGTATAGTTTATCCCTCAATAGCTGGATGCTCAAATGTTCCATCCTGCTCCCTGTACCATAATGAATAAATCTCAGGGAAAGTTGCATACACATGCCAAAGATGTCCTGCTCTTCCCCACGTGCTAAAGATAACAACTTAACTGTTCAGGCTGACCTCCCAGACATCAGCTGTGAATAAGATGAACAGCCCAATTTTAATAATGCTAATCTTGTCCCAGTTTTACTCCAATTTCATGCCTTAGCTAAATTTCATCATTTTTCTAACTGTTCTTGCAAGTCAAATTCAACAGTGAGCAGAATTGTTGTTTCCCATCATGGCACTTTTAATGCTGCTCAGATCCTCAATGTACTGGTCATTTAAGGCTGAACATCTCCAATTCTGTCACAAGGTTTAAGATCTACTTAAACAAACCCTTAGTCCAATTCACCCACCATGATGTTGCCTGTATTTGATTTGCCTTAATACTCTATCCCTACTCATCCTCATCTCTTTCTTACACCTAAACTTGAAATTTCCTTTTGAAGGTCTCTTTCGATGACATCCCAGGAATCTGCTTCATCCTTCCCAAGGTGTATTCAACTGCTAGTTAGTTCATTAATCTATCAAGGCATTTCAGCCATTACAATCCAGCACTCTGGAATGTTATTCCAGAACTCCTGCAATGTATCTTTTTCCACCTTCAGGAGGCCTATGCAAAACCCACTTCTTCAAATGATCCTTCTTAAGGCTGATAATCATTACTGGTTCATTTCTAATCCCTCTCACAACATAATGTTGGGATATTTCACTCTATCCAAAGTTGCTATCCAAGTGCAATTTGTTAATTGCTTGTTCTGTTTCTTTTCTTGGACCAGCAGAGACGGACAATAGAAAGCACTGGCCCTGATAGTGTCTTGGAATTTGAACTATTATCCAAGGTAAGTCTTTTGCAAATCACCTGACTTCTGCAGAGTTTGTATTAGGCACAAAAGATACATAATATGATGCACAGCAACAATTTCCAACCTGAGGGGCTGAAATCCAGTGAGACAACTGTATCACCTGCAGCTGGTGCAAGTTGAGTCAAAGCCTCTGGTTCCTCTTTCAGTTTGTCAAAAAGATTATTGGTTTCTTCATTTGTGGATGAAACAGGGTTCTTTCTAGGTTCCTCAGGCTTCTCGACAGATACACTTTCAGTCTGATCCAGTGAAAGAATCACATCTTTCTCAACTAGACCACTGAGGGTGGAATGAAAACAGTACAAGTTACACCATCAGCTTCAGAGAAGATTTCACTATGTTGATACTTATGCAACTATTCACATGTATAAATGCCTACTGGTGTAACTTTTACAACATTTGCATAATTATTTAATTCTAATGAGTGCATCTATTTTGCAAATATTAATGCAAGATACTTCCTAAAATAATCTTAACCACACAAGATCCCGATTTCAGATGCTTACCTCAAAACATAGTTCACACAGACCACGCATTGGGGCTGGGAGTTTTTGCTGTTGTAGATCACTGTGGCCTGTGTCTCCACCCAAACATAGCCACCTTCTTTGCCCAACATCCTATACTGACCAGTTGTGGCCTGGCCTTTAGTAAATACTAAAGCAAAATTTAAAAAAGTATTAATTGTCATTCATAAGCACATAAAACATTTTCAGCTAAGAGCAGTATTCACAACAGGGAACACACGGAAGTTACGTACTTATACGGTGCAGTACTCATTAAGAGGGCATGTACTCAAATGCCATGCATGGAATGCTACTAGAAGTCCAAGTGTCCACACATCAGACTCAACTAGGTTAAGTACAGTTCACCACAAATCGCAGTTCAGTGACATTTCAGGAAGGCACTGGGCAAGTGTTTGATATCCTTGAAAATATCTGTTAATAAGGATTCAGCACAGGGGAGAAAAGTGTTGAGAAAATTACTTGAAAAAATAACTTACAGTCATGATGGGTTTTGGTCAGATGGTCTGAATCCATGGCATGATAAAATTCATATACAGAGCGGCCCAACAATTCTTCTGGCTGGTATCCCATTAATTCAGTTATTCTGCATTTTAAAAAATGTACACACGATAAAATCAATTAGTGTAAAAGTTCACTATAAAACAGTTACGATGCAAAATTAAGTGCACTGCTTTCACCCAGTGTCAGACTAGATATTCTGATCAGAACTTTAAGAATATATCGAAGATTATATTGAGGGAGCATAAACACTTTTTGATCAGCATGGAAATCTATAATTTCAGAATTTACATTCAAAACAAAAATGACTTCGAAGATTACTTGAATGAGAGAAGGGAAAAATGTTACAAATTACAAAAGCTGTAAGCGTTATCTCCTTCGGCTTGAGTGCTTTAGGGGATTAATGAAGAATTTCCAATGCTTTACCTAAATTACCCTAGTTTTGTTCATACAAAAGGGTTTATAAAGCTGGACCATAGGGTATTTTTCCATCCTTCCTCAAATGTTAAGTTTTTTAAAAACAGTACAGCTGAAAGTAACATTAAGTTCCATACTTTTGCCTGACAGTTACAGAAAAGTTTTACTGCTGCTTAGGCAGCTACAGATGAGTACTGAGACACATCCATAAATGAAAAATTGTCCCGGAATACAATGTTTTCATCTAACTCAATTTATAGTGAAAAATGCAGTTTCAGATCTTATAATTTAGTAGCATGTGCTTAGTGTAATAAAATGCAAATTAAAATATGCAGGTTTCTGTTTTACATTGTTTATTCTATTTTCAGTAAATATCAGCGACCTTTTTAGGTGTCACTGCTGGCTGAGTTGGCAGCTTTCTTAGCTAGTCAGAAGGCTAAGGGTTTCAAGTTCAAGTAACTTGGACAAACATCTAGGCTGTCACTCCAGTGCAGTACTGAGAAAGCATAGCATTATATGGTGCCTTCTTTCAGAAGTGACATTAAACTAAGGCCCCAGGTGTGACTAAAAGATCCAACAGCATAGGCTCAAATAAAACCAATGGAGTTATCCCCACTGTGCTTTTTCAATAGGTACCTCAAAATAAACCCCAAAAGATTATTGCTTTGCTGTATACAAATTGGTTGCTACATTTCCATAAAAGTGATTACATTTATAATTATATGTAAAGCATTTTGGGATGTTCTGATGTCCTCAATGGTGCTACATAAGTATATTCTAAAGCAAAGGAGACTTCTGTTTAAAGATTTATAGAAAGCACTTTATATAGTCAAAATGTGTTAATTTATCAAACAAACTCACTATGCAAAATGCATATTTCATCAGTCCAATGTATAACTAAATCAGTATACAAATTTGATGAAGAGAAATAAATGCAGCAAATTTAGTTGTTAAATTCCTCAATGTTTACATAAAGTTTATCATGCATCAGTTATTTTGTTAACTACAATTAACTGAATCGGTTTAAAGAACTCTCCAACTCTTAGTTCACGCGAGAGTCAAACGAACCACCCAATAGCCCCGAACTTAAAGGAATCAAGCGAAAGTAGAAGTTTTAATATTTAAGATTTAATAATTTTAAAATAATTAATATTTTAGGTAATTATTTTTGGAATAATTAAAGACGTCAGATAAGTGCTGCCTGATTATTTTTAAACACAAATATTGCACTACAAGTGCAAATAAAATACTGTGAACAAGAGATTGCATTTTCTTCACAATGCCAATTAGGCTTACAGCAAACTGTTGGCAAGCCAAGAAACCAGATTTAACAAAACAGTGGAATAAATCTTGCCTTTTTAGGGAAATTAAATTTAAAATATTTACACCATTAAAATTGCATTATTTGATGATATTCATCCTTTAGAGTTCCAAATTAAGTAGCATTTTCATTGAGAAATTATTTTTCTTGCTACTACTTTCTTCACTTATTCTACTGAATAAATCTTTTGCCTGGAGACAATTTGGGGCATATTTGAATTGTTCACATCAAGACCTTGATTAAATTTAAACTGAACAGTACATTTACCCCTTCAGAAAGATGAAGCTTAACATGACATTGGAAAATGTTTCCAATGTACACATAACTCACCTCTCATCACAGTAAGAAAACTTCATGTCCAGGCTATGACGACTCAGAAATGTCTTGCTATCCAGCGGTACCTCTATGTTCGAGGGGTGTGGAATAGGTTCACAGATCAAAACCAAGCAGGTCATGGGCGGTTCTTTGTAACCACAATGGGTCTGCTCAATACTGGAATTGTATACTCTAATATGTCCTGTACAATGAAGGACCTAAAGATAATCATGGAAGTTAGTTTTTGTAGTCCCCAGGGTTTTAAGCACATCATTGACTGAGTAATTTAGTAACATTTGTGAAGCAGACTATAAAGTCTCGATCAGAATTTTCAGTAACTCTTTAAATAGAGGAAATGTCAACTTAACCCCAACATCTGTTGTTATAGAATAGCTGCATCTCCTCCACCAGCTCACCAAGAAGTAATTGTTCTTGACATTTCAAGGGGAAGGAAATGTTAAAGAGAATACTTTCAGTTCTTTCCCAATTTAAACAGACAAATCAAGGAATTGGATTTTACTTTTCCAAATCATTACATTGTTTATTCAGAAGATGAATTCCTATCCTCACTTGCTACTTTTCAGCAAAAGAAATTAAATAGTAACCAGAAGAGGCATCTTGGGTGATTCTCACTCATTGATTCCATGAATGATCAAAAATGATGGTCGAGTCTTAGAATTTGCTGAGCTGAAATCACAGACCACAACCCAGATTAAGGAAAACCTCCGGCCCATATTCGATCCCTATCCCTCTATTTTCTCCCTAATCATATAGCTGTCCAGATGCCTCTCAAATTTTGCCAAGATGACTGCTTCCAGCACTACTACTGGCAATGCGTTCCAGGCTCCTACCATTCTTTGCGTGAAAAACTTCCTTTGCACATCTCCCTTAAACTTTCCCCCTCTTATACTGAACCTGTGCCCCCCTTGTAATTGAAACTTCAACCCTGGGAAAATTGTCTGACTATCCACCCTATCTATGCCTCTCATAATTCTGTAGACCTTTATCAGGTCTCCCCTCAACCACTGTCTTACCAGTGAAAACAATCCTAGTCTTTTTAAACCTTTCCTCATAGCCAATGCCCTCGAGACCAGGCTACATCCTGGTGAACCTTCTCAGCACTCTCTTCAAAGCTATCATGTCCTTCTAGTAATGTGGAGATCAAAACTGCACACAATACTCCAAATGCAGGACCAGCATACGTGCTGAAAGTGTGTCTAGCTGCAGCTTCTGGAAGCTCGGTTTTCAGAGCTGGAAGGGGTTGGGGACACCGTGGAGCATCCACAAGTCTAACAGCATTGTGGAGAGCATGTTTAGAGAGGTGGTCACACTGTAGAAAAGGTGGCCTGAAGAAGAAAGGGAATGGGCGACACTTGGCGGCGGGGGGGCTAGATTAGTTTGCAATGATACCAAGATTGGTCAGCTGGTTAACAAAGTAGCCTTCTGTTATCACCTGCTGTCTCCTAAAACTGAGCCGAAACTGGAATCCACTTTATCAAATTACCCTACATCCCATGTGCATTTTCCTTCTTGTTAAGTCTAAGTAACACCTTGTCAAAGGCTTGGCTGAAATCTATATAAACTGCATCAACTGCACTACCCTCATTATTGTGTGTCATGGGCTCCGAGAAGATATGAAAGGGTTGGTCAAATAGGCAGATAAGTGTCAGATGGAATTCAACCCTGAAAAAGCGCGAGGTGATACACTTTGGAAGAAATAAGTTGACAACAAGTTATTCAACTAACAGCATGACACTAAGACAATCTGTGGAACAGAGGAACCTTGGTGTGTTTGTCTATAGATCTTGAGAAGGTGGAAGCACATGTTAGTAGAGTGGTGAAAAAGGCATAGATTACAAAAGCGGGGAAATCATGATGAAATTGCACGGAACATTGGCAAGATA